GCATTTTTGAACAATTTGAAAATTTGGAAGTAATATCAGAAAACTTCCTTTTCAAAACAGAATTTTCTTTGGCAAATAAATCTCGATTTTCCTTGATTTGATGAAATTCTTTTTGCAGAAAATCGATTTTGTCTTTTTGAGAAATATCCTGTTGCCTTAGCACTAAATTCTCCTTTTTTAGTTCAGAGATTCTCTTAAGAGCAGCCTTAAATTCCAAGCATAATTCATCAATATAATTTGACACTTAAATTGGAATTTCAGGATACTTCATGTCGATTTCAACTTCAGTATCAGAATCTGAGTCTGAACTTGAGTCTGAGTCTGACTTGGCCATCAGACAAAAGTTTGAGATATCTTCATCACTTTTTTCACACTCCGTATCACTCCAGGTTTTTGCTTTCAAAGCTTTCTTTGCCTTTTCAAATTTGCTCTTCTTTTTCTTCAGAAGTGGACAGTTTGGTTTGATGTGTCCGCGCTTCTTGCAATGGAAGCAGATTACTTCTTTTGATTTTTCTACATCATCAGAGATTCCCTTTTTCTCAAAAGGCTTCTTTCCTTTGAAGTTTCTTCCTTTCTTTTTCATCTTTCTGTACTTCTTTATGAAGAGAGCTAATTCTTCATCATCAACATCCTCTTATTCTGAATCTGCATCATCAGAATCAATATTAGATTTCAAAGCAATTGACTTCTTACCTCTAGATTCATTCTCCTCATTCAGTTGTTCAGTTTCATATGACTGAAGAGTTCCAATCAGTTCATTCACTGATAGAGGCATGATCCTTTAAGTTTCTCGAAGTGAGGTTTTTATGTTATCCCATTCCTTTGATAATCCCCTCATAAGCTTGTTCACTTTCATTGCATCTGAGACTGGTTGTCCTTCATATGTAAGACCATTCACTATATCGGTAAATCTGTCATACATATCAGCAATTGATTCTCCTGACTTCATCTTGAAGGATTCATATTATCCGAGCAATAGATTGATCTGAGTTTTCCTTGGCTCGATCTGTTCCTTCATATGTTGTATAGAGCGTGTCCCAGATGTCCTTTGCTAATTCACAAGAAGCAATATTCTTATATTCAATAGATGCCAAAGCACAGTAAAATGAATAAATTGCTTTTGAATCTAAAGCTTCTCTTTTTGATATCTCAGCTTGAGATAATGGAGCTTCTTCTGGTTTTTCTTTTGAAGCAGATGCAGATGTAGAGGACTTAGGATTGACTCCTCTGATGACAACATCCCACTGCATGTGATTAACTGATCTGATGAATGCTTTCATCTTGTTTTTCCAGACGCTGTATTCCTTGCCATCAAAATATGGTGGTTTGGAATTGCTTTATCCTTCAATGAGACCTAGAACACTCATGCTAGCCATAAGATCGTTAGCTTAAAAGTAAAAAGCACTTCAGTAAACGAGCAACCTAGCTCTGATACCAATTAATGTAGCTAGCAGGTATCACCTAGAGAGGGGGTGAATAGGTGATTTGAGCAATTTTGATGAATTTAAAGCGGAAATAATCAGTAAAGTCTGAATAATGTTCAGATTCTGAATGTTATAGTGTGCAGTGTAAATAGTATAACAAGAAATTAGGGAAAGAAGGAACTGCACACAAGAAGTTATAATGGTTCGGCTTAGATCAAGCCTACGTCCACTCTCCCACGCTGACAGCCTACTGGCTGGATTCCACTATGTGATCAAAGGGATTACAAGATCTGAGTGATATCACTCAGTAAATGATAGAACTTTCTATCTCGCACAATCACTTTTACAGAGTATCCCTCAAAATCTCAGTATTTGGCTCAGGAAAGACAAGTAGTAGAATCGGAATGAACTCAAACTTTGGACTTATTGATTCTCGATTTCGTTTTCTACCTTCTGCTCCTTATTAGTCTCCTTTTATACTCCTCCTGTGATATCCTGAAAATTCGATCAAATTTGGTGATTTATGAAATGGTGATTTCATCGACGCTCTATTAGTTAATTCTCGCTCTGGCCTGATCACCCAGGGAATACTAACCAAAGGGGAAAGGCTATCAAAGAATTTATTTCTAGCAGCCGCCCGTTAGTTCGAGATAAACTATAGTTGCGATTGATCGATTTCAGCCACGAATTATGATCTAATTTTGCGTGTCGAGTGCTCAAGGATATCACACCCGAAATGTAGGACGTCGCCTCATAATTTTTACGAATTGGCCATCGAAAATTATTTGCTAAATTACCCTTCTAGAAATTTTTTTGTTAGATTAAATCTTGGCCTTTGGATTGAATTTGGAGAGCAAGGCTTGATCTTAGCCCTTGATCTTTGCTTGGGCATCAAGAACACATCCTAGCCCGTGATCTTTGCTTGGGCATCAAGAACATATCTCAACCATTGATCTTGATTTAAATTTAAACCCTCTTTCTCTCTCTCCTCACTTTCTCTCTTATTCTCTCTCTCCCTCTCTCTCGGCCGAATACCCCACCACCGCTGTTCATCCACCAGCCCCTCACGCCACCATCCTTGAGCCCCGTAGATCGCAGTGTGCCGTTCACCACCGTTTGCCACTTGCCGTGTCAAGCCGAGGCCGCACAGCCCGTGTCGTCGCCGTCGTCCTCGCGTCGTCATCATTGTTAGATGAGTAAGTTAACATCTAATCCCTTGTTTAGGATGTTTAACTTGTGTAGGGTAGCTTAGCTAGTTATTGTTTTAGTGTGTTTAAACTTCTAGAATGAGCGTTGGCGGGTCTTGATTGCTAGACTAAGTTGAAATAGATGTTGGATGTTGATTTGAACTCTTGGTGTGGTATTTTCATGGCTGAGAAGTGGTGGATCTCAAAGTTGAAGGCGTTTCTTGGAGTTTTTATCTTGATTTCAGAACTGATTTTACTGTACGTCCCTGGTTTTCCATTTTTATAGAGCATTTTGTGGTTCGAATCTTAAAATGTTTTCTTCATAAAAGTTGTTCACAAGATCTTGATCTATAGCATACTTAAATTTCAGATTTTTCTGAGCTCAAATGGGTTACACGAAGGTCCAATTTCTTACCGAATCAGAACTGTTTTATACTGTGGATTCTGTGAACTTCGTGCCTTCTCAGATTTTTATAAAACTTTCCAGTTCGATTTCGACCATACTTCCTTCACAAGATTTGTAAACGAAATCCATGTCTACAACATATAAAAATTTCAAAGTGTTTTGAAAGGATTTGGTTTGTAAAACGAGTATTTCTTTTGGTTGAGTTCCCCTGTTCTGGCGGACCAGTTCTGGGTTGTTTCCGAGCCATCAAAAGTGATCTTTGTATAAGGATTTTGGGATTGTGTTCTTCATGGAAAATAATTGTGAAGGTCTTGTTTATAACATATTCGAATTTTATAATTTTTGGAAACCATTTGCTATGCTTTTGAAGTTGATTTCCCAAATCATACAAATCTGTCCAGTTTTACTAGAATTCCATAATCTGCTGGTCTTTAATCGAAATCCTTGACTTTCGATTTCCGGCCTAATAGAGACAGTAACCACAATTACCTAGCTTTTCAATAATGTTTATTTGGCTGTGATCCGATGTTGAATGCTTTTGTAAATTCATGTTTTAAAATGAGGTTCACAAAGTCGATTGACCGTTTGCATGTGTGACCACTTGTTATTGTTGTGTGGCATTGATGTGAGCACGATTCATGGATACATTGGCTAAATGAAAAGATAAGAATTGGCCTGAATGCTTGTGTGCTCGTGTGGTCACATGTTGGAGCCGTCTTGCTGTAGATCGCTTGACGATGCCTGATTTATCAGGGTCTTGCTGTAGATCGCTTGACAATACTCGATTTATCGGATGCCTGGAGATTATCTGGATTGCCGATACTCCGGATGCCTTGTCGTGGCCTGAGGTCGGACTCGATGCTCCTTACGGGATACCATCTTAGTGTAGATCGTTTGATGTTGCCGTATTGGAACGCCGTCTTACTGTAGATCGTTTGACGATGTCGTGCCCAACGGGGTGGGACGATGCCTGGGTAGGTCCGGAAGACTGCCATCTTGTTGCAGATCGCTTGATGTGTAGTGGCCCCGATGGGGCGTAATAAATGAAAAACGTGTGATGCATAGTGCTTGATTATGGGGTAGAAACTGCTAGGCATGGTATGGGACGTGCCTAAGTGGATTTTGACTTATAATCGAGACACGCGCGATTGTGATGCATTGATGCATGGGAAATCTCATCACACGTTCTGGGTATGTGATATGTTTGATGCATCGTTGTGACATATGACTATTTATGTTATGCATAATATGTGTGCCAAGGCAAGGTAAGGATGCCTGTGGTTGGTTAATGATTTGTGTCCAGTGCATGGTCGCATGATAAGGGACCCCCGAGGTGAGTTGGCCTTCTAAACGGGGCTTAGGCGTTAACTTATTGAGATTTTTATCTCATTTGTGGTTGTTAAATATTTTTCAGGCCCTTAGCATGTTGATGCAGCCAGTATGGTTCGGGGTGCCTGGAAGCTGACTTTTTGGTGAAGTAGATTGACCCCAGACTGTCATCTTTTTGTATACTTTTATGGAAATGCTAGAAGTGGGCTTGTGAAAATGTTCCCAGAGGTTAATCAAGTAAATGTTAAAATGGTGTTTTGATTTCAATGTTGTAAACCGTTTTCCTATCTATTCTTGTTTATTGTTATTGTCTAGGTGAATCTTTGTTTAGCTTCCTCATGCGTAATCAAAAGATAAAATGTTGGGTCGGCGACGCATCCTGAGACGTCGCATCATAATGACCATTGCAGGATGTTACGCGCTCGCGAGGTTCGGGGCATGACATCCTAGTTTAATTGGTATCAAAAGCAAGGTCAGCTCGAATCCAATTTTGGTCGAGACCTGGAGTGATAAGGTGCGAGGGGTTTTGGGATAACAAATTAGGAAAACACTATGTGTCTATGTTTGGTTGTTAGTTTCTTTTAAAGCGAGTTGTTCATGATTTCTAATTCCTTATTGGAATTGGAAAGCAGGTCTTTGTAAAGATCTTGTGAAATGAGCAATCCTAACCCGAGGGCCCCTAGGAGAAGGACTGTGCCAAATCAGACCGGTGCTAGAGGGATAGCACCAGAGGATCCTAGATTGGATCGGATTATGCAGGCTTTAGAGACTTTGGTAGGGCAGCAAGCTCAGAACCAAGCTGCTTCTACCGCTGTAGCTACACCTGCACCTGCACTTGTAGATGTTCCGTTGGCTGGAAACGGAAATGGGAATCGGCCCATGCATAAGTTGGTGGAGCAGTTTCTAAAGCTCAAACCGCCCAAGTTCACTGGTGCAGGTGATCCTGAGGCTGCAACCGTCTGGATCAGAGAGTTGGAGAAGGTGTTTTCTTTGCTGAGATACTCAGATGAAGATAAAGTGACGTTGGCAGTTTATCAGTTGCAAGGTAATGCTAATACTTGGTGGGAAGCTACCCAAAGGAGGGTATTTCCCGAGGGTACAGCCCAGGTGTGGGGTGCCTTCGTGGAAGCTTTTAACAACAAGTACTTTTCGGATTGTGCCAAAGAACGGAAGATGAATGAATTTCAGCGTCTTCGACAGAACCAATTGTCGGTAGACCAGTATGAGGCAAAGTTTGCTGAATTGTCCAAGTATGCGCCAAGGTTGATTGAAGACCCGGTTGATAAAGCAAGGAGGTTTAGGGATGGACTGAAGCTTGAAATCAAAGATCAGTTGGTGCCTCTGAATCTGAAGGATTATGACGAACTTTATGAGAGGGCATAGTTGATTGAGAGGAACTTGGCTGAGAAGGCAATCGCGTTTGGATCGCGGTTTGTGCTAAACAAGGATAATCAGCAGTTTGGGAAGAAACCGATGACTGGGGGTAGGTTTCCCGTCCCTCCTAACAAGAAGAATGGCGTGAGAAAGCCGGTGTACAACATTAATAATGGCCTCTGTCGATTCTGTGGAAGGCGCCACAGATCAGCCCCATGTCCTGCTAGGACGGGAGCTTGCTTTGGATGTGGCCAGCGCGGTCACCACGTAAGAGATTGTCCACGCCAAGCCATGGGAGCACAAGAACCAAGACAGCAAGTAGGATAACCTGCAAGGAATGTAACATCCTGAATTCGACCCACTTTCGTGATTAATGAAATGGATATATATTTCTCATTTTGTTTTAGTGAGTCTCGCCCGGAACTAATCATTCTCGGGAAACTGACCAATAGGGAATGGCTAACTAGGAAAACGGTACGTGGACCCAAGAACTCGACCGTGAATCGAGTCCGATTTCGAGAAACGACAAGGAAATATTTTGGGCCAACGTGGGCCAATCCAAGGAGGGTGACGAATTTGGTTTGACCAACGACGTACGATTGGATCGCGGGTGATTCCGCGCAACTGAGAGTACGCGTGGCGAATAATCCCGAACTTATTCCGAACGATCGCGACCCCCGGAACTAGCGATAAATCCTCGCGTTCTCTTGGAAATCGAGATAGTCACGACTTGAGTAATCCTAAGTCGATACGCCTAACCCCTAAACAGCCGCCCGTTAGTGTGAGACGCTAAAATCGCATTTGAGCGAAATTGATCGTGGAATTGAATCCAGACTTGATTGTCGAATTTCACGGACGTGCGCGACTATTTTGCAAGGACGACATCGTATTAGTGTGGCCAATTATATTTGGGATCGGTAGGGTCGAAAATTGGAAATTTGGCCCTGGATCGGAAAATTACCATTTTACCCTTGGACCTTATGTGTTAATTTCGAATTTTTGGGGTTTAATTAGGCTTGATCAGCCCCCTAAGTGGCCGAAAATCCTAGGTCCAAAATGCCCCAAGATATTTTAGCCTTGATTGATCTTAGCCCTTAATTGTTGGACAAGATGGTAATTTTTAGTGGTTTGTTCAACCACCCCACTCAAACTATTCTCTACAAAGCTCTTGCAATCTCTCTCTCTCCCCTCATTTCTCACATTGGCCGGTCATTCTCTCCCCCTCACCCTCTCCCCATTCTGTCTTCCTTGGCCACGTGAGAGCCACGCCGGAGCACTGCCGCCGCCGCCGCTCGCCAGAAACCGCCAGCCACGCTGCCCGTCCGTCACCACCTCGCCTCACCATCACCACCCGACCATCTCGACCGTCTCTCTCGCTCTTCCCCTCTCATTCCCGTCGCCACCAACAACACTGCTCGTAGCCGCCGCTGACCGCCGCCGAAGGAGCCGTCGCTCGTTGCCGCTGGTTCGGCGTGGTGCCGCCGCTGCTCAGCCCCCCTCGCTATCCGTCCAGCCCACATTTGGAGCTTTAGACCTAGTGAGTACAAACCCTAAACCCTAATTAGGCCATTATGCATTTCTAGATAGGTTTAGGGGTTGTTTAGTGGCGGATGATTAGGGCTGACTTTGTGGCTGTTTTGATGGATTAGTATGATGATTTAAATGTGATTTGGTGGCCTAGAATGGGCTGGTTGTTGGCTGACCATTGTGGACTCGGTTTGGGCAACTATGTGGATTAAAATGGGCGCAATATGTGGGCCGTGTAGTGGCTGATTATGAGGTGAATCTTGGGAGCCTAATGTGATAAATTGATGGTGATTTAGAGGCCTAGATAGATCCGGCAAGTGGCTGTTCATGGTGGGCCGAATTGGACTTGGGGTGACTAAATTGTGGATTAATTGTGTATTGCCATGTGAGCCTTGTTTTAAACATGATGTGGTCGATTTGTGCATGATTGGTAATTAATATTGTGATGTCATGTTGTGTGCTTGGTGTGGCCGAATGATGAAATGCTTGGTGGGCCTTAAGCATGCGTAATTACATTGGCTTAATCGCGTGAATTTGGGAGTCGATCAAGTACCATGGCTGGTTTGATTGAATTGATTAAGTGGGCATGTTAAGATGTTAATTGAGCATGTTGTGGCATTAATTGAGCTTGTGGTTGAGTTAAAATTGAATGCTCAATGTGAAAATTATGGATGCCCGAGTGTTGATTGTTATGGCCATGAATTGTACATATCAAGCATTGGCATAACATGTGCATCATGTGAATGTGCACGATTGGTATTAGCATGTGATCACCTAAATCGCCCTGATGCGTCTTACGCGGGGTTCAGATAATAATCGGTGGATGTTTACGTGTGATCACATAAAACCCTGATGCATGTTACGCGGGGTATTGAACCCGTCCTGATGCGTTTTACGCGAGTTGTGTCATGAGCCTGATGCGTTTTACGCGGGCCGGAGATCCATCGAAATGTGATAGACCTGATGCGTTTTACGCGGGTCAGACCTGATACGTTTAACGCGGGTCGGTGATAAATGGAAAGTTGGCACGTGTGCAAGTGTGCAGAAATGAACATGAGCATATGCATAGTGATGGCACGTGTGCAAGAGTGCATTAACGAGTGCAAGCATGTGCATGGCATGTGTTCGTGGCTAAGTGTTTTCGCGTATGTGCCGTAATTGGGTTCTGCACTATTATTGTTATTATTATGTGCCTAACCTGCAAGGTCACTACAATGCTTGATTTGGGCCCGAGGGCCTAAGTCGTGTGATTACTCAATTGTGTGCTTGGTTAATACTTGTCAGGAGGTGCATGTTAGCCTAGTTTAGGTTTAGGGGGCCTACTCGCTGAGATTTATTCTCATTGTTGTTAAAACTCCATCTTTTCAGGCCCCCGACCTTGAGATGGCAGGCGTGCCGATTCATTTTGGGATCCCGTATCGCATAGAACGGTCGGTGATCGAGTACCCCGTAGGGAACGGGGAGACTTATGTTAGACATTTTACCAGTGTTTGGGTCGACGTGGGCGAGCCACAGTTCCAAGCTCATCAGTATCTGGGTTGATGTTTCCGGGACCCGTTTGGAGTTTATGGGCCCATTAGGACCTTTGATGTCCCGATCGTCGGGGTAAGCCAATGGGACCCGCAGGATATTGATGGAGAGGTAGCCAGCCTTGAGACAGTGTCTGAGGAGGATTCTAATCCCCGGCCGATCATCTTCGAGATGGATTCCGACCCCGAGGAGGAAGAGCCAATAGAGTGGGAGTCCGACCCCGAGCCGGAGCCGATGGAGCTGGAGCAAGAGCTGGAGGCTGATTCCGAGGAGGAGCCGGTGGAGGCCGAGTCCGAGCCGGATTCTATGGATTTCGAGTCCGAGTCATCTGACGATTCATCCGAGTCCTCGGGATCCGACCCGGACTGGTTACCCTAGGGTTCACCCTTGACCATAGTTAGGTAGGGCCGACACTTTTTGATAGGTGCCCTTCCTAGGTTTAGTACCCTGACAACCCGAGCCACATATCCCTTTTTGATGTTAGTGGCTGTTGACCCATTTTGATTTGTGTATATGCCTGTTAATGGATATTGTAGATCCATGTTATTAATGCAAATTGTATTTATTGCAATTATCGCTATCCTTGGTCATGTGGTTTTTATTTGTACGGGTGTTCGTTGCTTCCGCATGTGCATTGTTCTCTGTTTTGGATTTCGAGTCGGTGACGCGTCCTAGGACGTCGCACTATATCCGACCGAGGTAGGGTTCGGGGCGTGACATCCCCCGTTGATTTGGTATCAGAGCAAGGTCAGCTCGATCCAACTCGGTCGAAGCCTGGAGTGATAAGGAACGAGGGCCCTGGGTAGCTAATAGGGAGACTTGTGTGCTACATGTACCTCCAAACTGTTTGAATTGCGTTATTGAGTGATTGTTGTGATTAACCCGTAAAGTACAGGTGCGGCAGGACCCGAGGTGAGTACACATTTCTCATTGGTTGAGAATTCATTATGCTCGTGTTTGACTGCCTGCTGAGTGATTGATTGTTGTGATTTTTCCTAGGATCATAGACTGGTATAGTTTGCCTAGGTCTCTAATTCCTGAATGGAATTATAGCAGGTAGGCGAGTAGTGAGGATAACCTGTGAGGATGAGAAGAGGAAGGGGAACAAGAGGACAATCGAGTGCAAGGGGCCAAGAGGCTAGGGACCTAAGGCTTGATGCAGTTATTCAGATGTTGCAGGAAATCGGGAATTTGATGGGAAGGCAGGCGCAGGTAATCAGGCCAACCAAGGCCAGGCCCAGGTAATGGTGAATAGACAAATGCATCAGTTGGTAGAACAATTCCTGAAGTTGAAGCCACCAAAGTTCAATGGAAGAGGTGACCCCGAGGCCGCGCCGCGTTGGGTAGAGGAGCTGGAGAAGGCCTTCGAGGTTCTGGGGTGCACCGAGACTGAGAAAGTGACATTAGCGGTGTATCAATTGCAAGACAATGCTAATGACTGGTGGAAGGCCACCAGGGGAAGAGTATTTCCCGAGGGTACCGCCTTGACTTGGGCCGTGTTTACTGAAAACTTTTATGGGAAGTATTTTTCTGAGAACGCTAAAGAAAGAAAGTTAGCAGAGTTTATGAGACTCCGTCAAGGGCAGATGACCGTAGACCAGTATGAGGCGGAATTCGCAAGACTGTCAAAGTTCACGCCTAGGATGGTTGAGGACCCGTAAGATAAGGTCAGAAGGTTCCGTGATGGGCTGAAGCCGGACCTTCGAAGCCAAATGATCTCACTGGACATCCGAGACTATGGAAGAATGTATGAGCGAGCATAGGCTATAGAGCGAGATCAGGTGGACAGGGCAGCCGCTTCTGGATCGCGGTTTGCCCCGGCTAGGGACAACCGTCGCTTCGGGAAGAAGCCGATGGCGGGAAAATTCGTCCCTCCCATTAAGAAGAACATTAGGAAGCCAAACCACCAGTAGAACCGGTTTGGGGCGTGTTTTAAGTGCGGAAGTATGGAC